CGCCCAGGCTGGAGAGCAGTGGCATACACTCACAGCCACCCCAGCGTCGACTTGCTGGATCAACCTGCTGGGCTCCAGCGATCTTTCCGCCTCAGCTTTCCAAGTAGCCAAAACTACAGGCGCGCACTACCACGCCCAGCTAATTTTTGATTTATTGTAGAGACGAGGCTTTGAACCTGCGTGTTCAGGCAATCCACTCGCCTCAGCCTCCCAAAGTGCTGGGATTACAGGCTGGGCCACCGAGCCCGGCCAGGTGAGTTCTAAAGAAGGAGTCAGTGTTCAGCGGGCAAAGAGTTGAGGAAGCAGAGGGAACAGCAGGTGCAAAGACCTGAAGCAGGAGGAAGAATGGAATGTTCAAGAAACCAGAAGCGGCTGCTGCTGCATCTGTTGCCCAGCAGGAGAGGATGCAGGATGAGGCTTGAGAGTCAGGCGGTCCCCAGTTTTGAGTCCTCTCCTCCTGTCTGGCCCCACTGCTCCCTCCCTGGGCTTCAGGCTGAGCCCACCGTGCACAGACTGAGTAGATACACCACACAGAGTGGGGTGGGAGACCCAGTTCCTTGCACTCTCCTTCCAAAGCCTCGGCTCCCTCATCTGCAGAGCAGGGATCCACACACCGATCTGGCACCGCTGGAAGAACCAGGAACAAGATACAAAGGGGTTACTCCAGGCCTGGCACACAGCTGGACTCGGCCACCTGATTCTATGACATTGTCAAGAACTCAGCACAGTCTGAGGAGCTCAGAGGGTCTTCAGAGGAATGACTCAAGTCTCCACCACGACTTTTTTTTTTTTGGAGTCAGGGTCTCATTCTGTTACCCAGGTTGGACTATAGTGGCACAATCACAGCTCACAACAGCCTCAACCTCTTGGACTCAGGCGATCCTTCCGCCTCAGCTTCCCAAGTAGCTGGGATTACAGACATGTGCCACCATGTCCAGCTGATTTTGGTAATGCCCAGGCTGGTCTCGAACTCCTGGGCTCAAGCAATCCTCCCACCTCAGCCTCCTAAAGTGCTGGGATTACAAGCATGAGCCACCATGCTTGGGCTTGCTTTACTTATTTATTTATGTATTTATTTACTTACTTATTTATCTAGGTCAGCATCTCATTCTGTCACCCAGGCTGGACCGCAGTGGCATAATCACAGCTCTCTGTAGCCTTGACCTCCTGAGCTCATGTGATCCTTCCACCTCAGCCTCCTGAGTAGCTGGGACTACAGGCCCATGCCACCACACCCAGCTAATTTTTGTTTTTTGTAAAGAGGAACTCTCCCTATGTTACCAAAACCTATCTCAAACTCCTAGGCTCAAGCCATCCTCCCACCTCAACTTCCCAAATGGATGGGATTACAGGCGTGAGCCACCATGTCTGGCCACCGTGATTCTTTCTAAAGGCCAGAGAAAAGAGTTGCTGTGCCTGACGCCAAGACCTTCAGGGGCGCCCATATGACACCTCCAGGATAACCACGTCCCTCAACATTACCCTTGCCTTCTCGCTGGCCACCAGACCTGCCCCCACAGAACAGAAGGGCAGGTGCCTGAAAGGGTACTCCCGAGGCCCCTACGGGGCTTCTCAGCTGCCAGGGAGAGGACTCTGCCATCTCAGGGACCACAATCCAGAGGCCCAGTTCTGGAGATTCATTACCCGGGCAAAGGCGGCCTGGTTACTGGCAGGGTCTCTGGGGGCAACTGCATGAATCGCACGACTCAATCAGAGGCCACGTTTGGACTGTCACTATTGTTATTAAATATAAATTGTGGGTTTATTAAATAAGGCCCCCTGCTTCTCACCCTGGAGACAAAGCCCAGGGCGGCAACAAATCACATGTCGGGAAGTGGCAGCCACCCTCCCGCCTCTCCCGAGGTGGAGCAGCCAACTCGCCATGGAAACCTGCCCAGCCACCCCAGCAGTCTGCACGCATCCCCACACTCAGGGCACAGAGTCTGAATGAAGGTAGTGGGAGGCGGTACTCCACCCCCTCAGTCCCTGTGCCCACCCTGGATTCTTCCAGCTGCATGCTTTACCCAGCACCCTGTCCGAACCCCAGCAGCCCCATTGGCAGAAGGAGCCAGGAACCCTTGCCATCATAGTGGGAGGTGGCAGTCCAGAGCCGTCCAGGACGGGGTGGGGCAGACCGGGTGTGAATCCTTGCAGGGCCCAGTCTAACTCCCCAGCTAAGCTCTTTCTCCACAATTCACATCATTACCAGTGTCATGTGCCATCACATGCCTTTGTGACACCTTTGCTAATCGTCTACCATCCATGGGCTATAAGCTCAGCACAAGCAAGAATTGGCCTTCCATCACTGCTGGGTCCCAAGCACCTAGCCCAGGTCTTGAGTGTACTCACAAAACTGAACACCTGCTACCTGCTTGGTCCTGTTCCATGTGGATTTACCTGTTTTATCCCCAGTATGACCACTGTGAGCAGCACTTTATGGTTGGGGAAACTGAGGCACCAAGAATCATGACTGCCACCCAGGCGGGCTAGCTCAGAGCCTGAATTCCTAACCAGCAAGCTACTCGGCTGCTCACAAATGTCTCAAATGAATGAATAAAATGAATAAACATAAGAACGGAGAGCCTTCCGTTACTCAGTTAAATGGCGAAATCACTCCTCTCTCATTTCACCCTTCTTCAGGACACAGTCTGGCCCACAGGGGCCTACGAGTCTCCTGTACTCTCCACCCAGCTGGGTGGCTCTGCAGTTCTCAGACACTCCCTTTTCGCCGCTACCTGCAGGCTCTGACCCTGCCCCACCTTCTGCCAGGCCCACCTCCTTCTCACACTCCCTCCCAACTTGCTACACCTACTTCTCCTCTGCTGGGCTCAGCCTAGAAGTCATCTTCTCCAGGATGTCCTCCCAGAACCCCCCAAACAGACAAGGGCACCGTCGGCCTCCTCTCCCTGCCTTCCCGTTTCCCTGGCTCTGGAAGCATCCTGGGTGTCTGCCTGGCCCAGGCAGGGGCACTGTAAATAACTAACTGCTCACCACAGTGGTCTGTGGTGCTGGGGACCCTCTAAGATGAGCGAGCACACAGGTGCACATGCAGATAAACTCCACCTGCTATGGGGGCTCTGGTGCTCTCTCCGTTCCCGCTGGGCAGGAATCCAGCCCTGTCGCTGGGACCTCAGGCACAGTCACCTCCAACCCACTGGCTGGAGGACTAACTCCACCAATGAAAGAGAAAACCCAGCCCAGGGAAGGCGTCCTCCCTACAGCGGCCCTGCCAGGCCTCACTGTCCCAGAGACCTACAAGCAGCACGCCCGAGACCCACAGCCTTCCATCCTGCCAGAATCTGCCAATCTGACTCCAAAAACAGAAAATCAGAGGCAGCTGCCCAAACAGAAATCTACCAAAAAGTAAAGCAGGCAGCCACGAACAAGACAGACCCCAGGAAAACAAGCATCTTCCCAAGCAAGACCCACTGGGAAGAGGATGCTTCTGGCACCAGAACCCACCCCAGGCCAATGCCTGCCACCTGCCACAGCCCTTCCCTGTACCCTTTATAACAGAGGCCAGGTCCGAAGGAAACCACATGGGGATAAGGGGTAGCACCCCACTCACCCCTCCAGGCCAGGGTTTCCAAAGTCCTACAGCTGTTTCTCTGAGTGGTCCACATACTGGCTTCTCCAGCATCCCTGAGGACAGTGGCTGGGGCCCCACAAGAACTGCTGCCCAGGAGTGGTGTTCATGGCCTTACCAGGAGTTCAGGGTCTGGACCCGCAAGGGGCATTGGATCTGTGGGCAGCCAAGAGGACCTCCTAAAGGTCCTACAGTGCCGGATCATCCACCATCACAGCTCCCTATGCTGTCACCTCCCTACTCTCTAGGGGCTCACTCGTGATCCAGGCCCAACACAGAGGCAGACACCTGGAACAGTCTGGCAAAAGTACGACAGCTGAGGTGACAGATGACCTCACTCTCAAGTGGAGGTGGGAACAGCCACTGACATCACAACCCAAGGATGCAGAGCTGCAGGGTCTGGAGAGAGCCCTGGACTGGCGTCAGGCAGCCTGAGTTCAAGGCCAGCTCTGGCACTTGCCAGCAGGGTGGGCTTGGGGGCCTCTAGTCCCCCTCCAGTTAAGCTCTGCCATGCAGAGTTGATGGGAGGGGCAATGGAGATAAGCGGGAAGGGGTTTTCTGGGAACACAGGGAGTCACCCAGAGTAGGGCCAGGAGCCTATCCGCCTCCACCCGGAGCCACCCATACCTCTCTCTCTAGGACCTCAGAAAACATCCAAGGAGGAGAAAGGCTCGACCCGCACACATACATAAGGACAGGTCCCCAGTGCTGCTCCAAGGGTGTCTTGAGTCTGTGCACTCCCCCAGGCCTCACTACCCAGGCACCCCCATATTTTCCATCAGATCCCCAGGGATCAGGCAGAAGAACACCCTAGACTTTTTGGAAAGGTGTCTCTGCTTTCAAGAGGAAAGTACTAGGATCTGAACGAAAGAAATGGGTGGTTGAGGTGAAGGGGAGACAAACAGCCCCAGACTGGGGTCCTAACCTGCCACGAGGCCCGTAGCAAGTCCCTTCCCCTCTCTGGGACTCTGTCTCCCCATATGTTCAGTGAGGAAGGTAAATCGGACCAGGGGTCACCAACCCAAATCTCAAGAAGAAGAGGTGGAATTTAGCCTCCTAGACATCGCCAGGAGGACGAGCAGGCCTAGAGTTGCCAGGCCTTTTGGTTTCATAAAATGAAGCCAGAAGTCTGGATTTTTATGCGCATTCACCTCTTTTAAAAATATTTGTAAGACATTTCTCCCAGCCAAATTAAACAGGAATGTGGCCAGAACCGGCCCACAGGCCATCAATCTGCAACTCCTCACAGGTTCTTCCCAACTCAGAACCCGGTGATCCTAGGATTCCAGAAACGTTGCAGTCAACAAATGTTTAACGCTTGGTAACAGCGCACCCAGAAGCCAAGAGGCACCCCCAGGTCCGTGAGCCCACCCTGGGTGGCCGCCGCCCCCCACGTCCCGCCAGTCCCACTTACATCTGCACATGCGGTGGCTGGAAGCGGCCCTGGTTGATGTTGTAGAAGGTGAAGGCCTGGGTGGGGTTGGAGCTGTACTCGTCCACCTCGATGATGAGACGGCTGTGCTGGTGCCGCCGAGCAGCCATCACGTGGGACTGGGAGAAGGCCATGCCCAGGCCGCAGGGGAGGAGGGCCAGGGCCTCCGCCTTCAGGACGCCGGCATCCCACCTAGAGCGCCACATGGACCTCCGCTGGCCGCCCGGGCATCTCCTGCTGCCGCCGCCGCCGCCGCCACCGCCCGGCCCCCCGCCAGACCTGGAAACAGACTGAGGAGACGGAGCAGAACCATGCGACAGTTAATCTGTTTGGGATTTGCTTTATTTAATGTCAGATGAAGATTTAGAAAGAGGGAGAGGGCGGGGGGGGAGAAAAAAACACAGTCGTACAGCTCAAAAACTCATTACAAATCTTTCCAACTCAGCAGTTTGATGAATATACTTTGGTAAAAAGAAAAGGGAAGGGAGGGAGGGGACAAGAAGAAGAAAAAAAAACCCACAGTGCTGTGGATAGATGCATGCATGGCCCAACGTGTTTAAATACTTAAGGCATTTTTTTCCCCTCAACAAAATCCTCCAAAGCCCACAGGGTGACAGTGAACTGGGGTGAGACAATGGCTGGTGTTTTGTAAACAGCGAAGTTTTACTTTTCAGAATTGGGGAATAGGAAGGATTCCCCTCCAACCCCGCCCCCTCCCCACAGACCCCCAAACACACCCACACAGACCCACACCCACACCCCTGCAAGCCCAAGCAGGTGGAGACACCATGGGCGAAAATTCCTTCCTCCACTTCAGTTTCACCTAAAGATATCTTTCAGTGGCGCCCAGAGAAGGGGTTTTCCCAGACGGGTTGCCATATACCTCTTTGGCTCAGGGAAGGGTGGCTGAGGTGAGGGGAGACAGGGAGAGGGGAAAGGAATCAACTTTGTAAAAAAAGCCTCTTCCCCAATGCCTCACTACCCTCTCCCTTCTAAGGGTCTCAGGATCCCCGATGTTTCCCCTTCGATCCACTTCGAAGCGCAGTTTGACAATGCCATATTTTCTTTTAAATGTCTTTCATTGGGCAAGTGCAGTTTGCATTTATACTTTCTGGACTACAATGGCCTCCTGACGGATCCCAATCCTGGAAACGCAGGCCCTAGGTGAAGGTCCCTACTACCTGACTTAACACAAACACAAACTTAACACTGAACACGATGGCCGGTGCCACCTTACCAAGACCATCGATTTTTCTTGTTCCTTTTCATAATCATTTTTTAAACTGCGTAAATAGGAAATGCCTTGAAGACTTTTTGTCACTTGGTCATTAAGACCCTTCAACGATTCCATTTGGACTGTATTTAACCAAGGAGAAAATAACATCATTTGAACTACTCCTGGACAGTCGTATCCCAATCACATTCAATGAAGAAAAATCCCTTCTGCTTTGCGCTTGGAAGAAGAATCGACACAGTCAGAAAACAAATGAGATTAGGAAAATGACAAAAATTAGAGACGGGAGAACATTTTAATTATGTGCAAAGGAGAAATGGGTTATTAATTTTTTTTTAAAATCTCAATCGTCTCTATAAAAGGTGAAATAAATAGGAATATCCTCCTCCTCTCCCAGTCGTCCCCCCAAAAAACACATCCTGATTCACAACACATACCCTCCACCTGGAAAGACAGGGCAATGTCTGCTTTTTCCTTAGGACACTCTTGCTCCCATCTTTGTCCCTGCCAATTGTTTCTAAGTGAGTCAGTTCTCCCTGAAGATGCCAAGGCAGCAGGCCTCTGTGGTGGGTAGGCTGGGGTCTCCGAGACGCGGGGCTCACAGAGTCAGCTGTGTTCAGCCTGTCTGTAACTGCTGCCAGCACCAGGAAGGCCTGGGAAGGCCTCAGGGCGCCAGACTCCAGGGTCCAAGTCTCTACCAGCTCGGAACCAGGCCTGTCCATATCTGGACAGGGGTTTGAGCCCCAGCATGGTTGACTCGCTGTGTGACCTTAGGCCAATGTCCTGACCTCTCTGAATCTGAGCTTTCTCTTCTGGAAAATGGATTTGAGGGTCATGCCGCCTTCCAGGGTGGGTGTACAGGTTAAATGGGGGAAGGAAGCAGGAATCTTGAGTACGGTGCCTGGCAGGAACCAAGAGCCCAGTTAACATGTGATGACCACAGTCACCAATCTGTTCAATTTGGTCCCCACGTATTGAGGGGCTGCTGTCAGCGGGTGCAGCCTGGGTACGGGCGTGGTGAGCCAAGGAGTCAGTCCCAGGAGCTGACGGCACGCTGGAGAACTTGAACCTTTCTCAAATGCAAGCTGATCACATTGCTCCTTTGCTTGAAATCCTTGCCATGGTGCCTCTAGCAAGGACCCTTAACCACAAGACCCTGCATGGTCTGGCCTGCCCTGATCCAGCCACACAGGCTCTTTGTGCCCAGAGACTTTCAGCTAATGGGGCCATGCTCTTATTCAGAGTCACACAATTCCAACTTTATCAGGGTTTTCCTCTGAACTGCTCACCACCTAGGAGTCAGGTATTCATTCCTGTGTCTCCAGTTTTACAAACGAGAAAGGTGCGTCTCAGGGAAGTGACATCTCCTGCTAGCATCAGACAGAGAATAGCGGGCGGAACTGAAACCCAGACCCGGTTGCCAGGTTCCCTGACTATCTCCTTCCAGTTGGATAGCTCTGCCCTCCTCTCCAGCTGGCTGAAGCCAACTCCCCTTCCTTTCAGTTATGCCAGGGTCTTCCCAAGAGAGGCCTAGATCCTGGGTCTTCCTGCCAGGGTCCTGGGAAGAGCCTGAGTGGCCCCTGAGAGCAAGGCCCAAGTCTCCCCTCCACCCCTGTATGTCAGCTCCAGCCCCCACCAGCTGTGTGACTCTGAGCAAGCAGCTTAACCTCCAGAAGCTTGGTTCCCTCCTCTACACAGAGAGAAAAACTCCCTACTTCATAGGGCCATGAATATTAAATGAGGTGACATACAAACTACGCTTATCTCAGAGCCTAGTGCATAGTAAGTGCTCAATAAATGTTTGGTTGCTATTATTTTTGTTATGATCGCCCCATGGCCAATTGCAAATGCTTTACGAGTATTACATTAGCAGAGGGAAGGAGGAATGGTGGATGGAGGAAGGGTTGCAGGGACGATGGATGCAAGGACAGAGTGTGCATCCGACCAGATTATGTGGCCCTATCCCCAGTGCCCAGCACAGGCCTGGCGAGGGTGGGTGTCAAGAGAGCTCAGCCAAAGACTGAAAAGTCTTTGTCCCTTTCCCCTTCCCCCACGCCATAACTCTTCAAGGAGGTCACCAGGCTGGGCACAGCCCTTGTGAAAGAGGGGTCCCAGGGCCCTCCACCCAGCCTCACCCCAGAGAAGCAGGCACCGGCATGCGGACAGCCTGCAGGGAGGGAGAAGGGCTCTGCACCAAGGGACTCAGCGGGGGCGGGAAAAGCAGGCGGCGAGGCACCCCGGAGGCACTCTGCGGTGAAATGCTGCATTTCACATAAAGGGGGTTCGCAATGGGCCCTGCTCGGAGAAACCAGGGAAACTGGGAACGCAGCGCCTCCTTTTAATACCCATTTAATATTGATGGAGCCGCAGCAGCGCGTAGCCGCGTTTGAGAAGGCGAGCGTTCTCTGCCCGGCAGCAGATCCACGGAGAGGGGGGCCACGTCTCCCCAACAAACGGCTTTTAACTGGGAAGCATTTACACCTGGTCCACAAAACAACAGCACCAGCAATGCAGTGGTGCCTGGGCCCCACGGCCACGGGGGGGACCACCTGGGCCTCTGTCCTGGCTCTCAACAGAGTGACCTTGAACAAGTCACACATCCTGGTAGGGCCGCAGGTGCCTCCTCTGTGCAAGTGGGTGGGGCGTGTGAAACTATGGAGAGAAGCAGGCGATGAATAAATGACTGCACTACTCATTCAACAAATATTAGTCACTGTTCCAGGTGTCAGGAAAGGCAACAGAAAAGCAAAGAGGTTCCTGCCCTCAAGGAATAGGGAGGTGGGGACAATAAGGTAAACACAGAAGTAAACAGAAAAGACACTTTCAGATAATAACATGTACCTGGAAGAAGACAGAGCCGGTGATGGGGTAATAGTAATGAGGGGTTCCTTTAAATCAGATGCTCAAGAAAGGTCTGTCTGAAGAGGTGAGGTCACCTCACACACAGATGATGAGAGGAGCCAGCCACGCCCAGACCTGGGGAAAGAGATCCGAGGCAGAGGAAACAGCAGGAGCAAAGACCCTGAGGCACAGGGAGCATCAAAAAACGATCTTGCTTCTGTTGTTGTTGGCCATTGGCATGCTTCTGCACTGGAAAAGAACCTGGACTCTGAAATCAGAGGAAATCAGACTCTGCATTCAAATCAGTCTCAGACACTGCTGAGTTGCGGGACACTGGGCAAGTTACACAGCCTGTTTCCATTTTCCCATGAGTCGCCTCAAGGAGTTATAGTAGAGAGGGAACTAGCCCGTGCCGGTCCCTCCATAAAGGCCCAGGAAGCCCAGATTGGGAGGCTGTGGGTCCTCCTGGCCCAGTGCTTCTTGAAAAAGTTCCTCTGTTTAAGGGCTTGCTTTTCAAAAGTCTTTTTTTTTTTTTAACAAGTTGGGTTCTCGGCCAGGCGCAATGGCTCAAGCCTGTAATCCCAGCACTTTGGGAGGCCGAGGCGAGAGGACTGCCTAAGCTCAGGGGTTCGAGACCAGCCCGGGCAACTTGATGACACCTTGTCTCTACAATAAATCAAAACATAAGCTGGGCGTGGTAGTGCACGCCTGTAGTTCCAGCTCCTCGGAAGGCTGAGGAGGAAAGATCGCCTGAGCTCAGGAGGTAGAGGCTGTGGTGGTCGTCAGCATGCCACTGCACTCCAGGCTGGGCGACAAGAGTGAGATTCAGACTCAAAAAAAAAAAAAAAAAGATGAATTCTCTTTCTTTTCCTCTCAAAGGTATTTATTTGTTGCTCCTTGGGCACCACGAGTCCGGTTAGACCGGGGCACTCCAAGGAGAACCTGGGTGTTAGCCAAGATCCCAAAGAGCAAGTCACCATTAGGCACTGACTGTATAAAAAGTTGATGTCTAGGAAAGAGGTCAGACTTTAGGCCCCACCTCTCTGTACCACCATCCCCAACCTTGTCTGGTCTTCTGCTGTTCTTGGTCACCCATCGCCATGGTCATACCACACCTGCCTCCAGAAGGAATGTCCTAGAACTCACTTCTAACCACGCAGTTCCCTCTAGCACCCCAACCCTCCTCGGGAGCACCTGGTGCCCTCAGGTGACGCCCAGTTACTCAGGTCCCCTCAGTATGCCGCACCCACTTCTCAGACCCAGCTCAGCCGCATGGAGTTTCCCTAGCACAGCAAGGGTTCTGCCTCAGAGCCTCCACACGTGCTGTTCCCTTTGCCTGGAAGCCTCCACACTCCACCCCACCCCTGCATTCACCCCTGTTTCCTGATCATGCCCATTTCCTGACTTAGAGCCTCAGAAACATCTCCCCTGACCTCCTCAGGCAGGGTCAGGAGCCTCCACCCCCAGTCCCCCAGGGCTTCCCATAGCAAAACTCTCAACACAGTCTGGTTCTGTGTCCAAGCTGAATGAGAAGCCAAAGAATGAAATGATATGTGAATGAATGCATGAATAAATAAATGAATGGGTGAAACTGCATAGGCCTTTGAATCTGACAGCCCAGGTTCAAAAGCAGCTTTAACCTCCTGGATCCAGTTTTTCATCTGCAAACATGCAGACTCTAAACCTCCCTCCCAGGGATATTGACAACATTGAAGAACACAGGAGATGCAAACACGCCTAGCCAAGGGCCCAGCACACAGTAGGGACTCACTCAGTATCTCTTTTACTCCAATTAGAAAGTTCCTCCCCCAGGAACCTGCAAGCATCCAGCAGGGATTTTTCAGGCATTCAAGCAGCCTCCTCTTTCTCTGCCTGGAACCCTGGAGCACCTGCTTGCTCCTCCCCACCCCACCCCACCCCACTCCATTAACGAGTAAATCACTGGTTAGTTTACTTCTCAGGTGCTGTGGAAGGACCTATCCAGTACAGTCTCCCCTTGACTAGTTTTTCTAGACAAACTCTTCACCACTCCCCTCACCCGAGCACGGCTGGACACTGGTCAGCCCCAAAACATCCACTGCTCGTCTGCTGGGCCAGACCTTGTTCTGGAACTCAGATGACTCAGACAGGGAACTAGCCTTGAAGGGCTTGGACCCAGCAGGAGCAGTCAGACAGATCAACAGATTTCCTCAGAACTCAGTTATAAGGAGCTACAGTGGAGGGCTCTGTGGACCCCCGAGAAGACCCTCACCAAACCGTAAGGCCCAGAAAGGAGACTAAGAGAGAGGCCTTGGCTCACACGGTACATCTCAACAGCAGGTGGGTTTTTGCAAAAGAGACGTCACTCCAGTGGCCCATATCTGTCCAAAGACGTGTGAGGAAAAGCTTGGAGTGTTTGCACTGCCTGGGAGGTTACTGATCTGCAGCCCACAGAGATATCTGCTTTGCCTTGTGACTTGAAGCATCCACTTCCTCCCAACACAGGCCCCTCAAAGTCAGCGTGGGCCCGGGACAGCCCAGTCCACGTCTGCTGCCCCAGTGCCGCCGCTATCAGCATCCTCCTCTCTAGTTCTCAAAAGAGTACTGATGTGGAAGGTGCATGTCCCTCTGATCAAAGTCAATGTGAGGGCGTTAAGACAACCACCCACGAAAGCCCCCGGTGTTTCTATTCCATTCATTGGCATGTTGTTCACAATATTTGGGAGGCTAGAACAATATCGTGTCATCCTGAGTCCAAAACTCAGATGACAGTCAATGACCACCACACAGGGACGACTGTCTTATAAAACATGAGAAGAAGCCGCCAGAGAAAATATCTTCCCCAACAGCCTTCCCGGTTGCGGCGTTCTGAAAAACCCCACCCTTGGAAAGCTTCCACCAGATGCCAACCACGTCTTTGCTCAGACTCCTCTTCAGGTCCCTAACTGTGAGCTGGAGCAGCCCAGCAGCCCCAGCCTCTCTAACCAGCCAGCCCAAAGCGCAGCTGCCTGTTTCTCCGGGCCGGTGGCTCAGAGCGACATGGAGAGACAGCCCGCTAGGTGAAGGCGCTGCTCACTGAGGCTTTTGTTAAAATGTAGCGAAACATCACTGAAAAGCCACACCAACACCTCCTAAGTAATCCCCCCACAAGTCAAATGCAGGAGACAATATTTAATAGAAAAGTAGCCAGGTGTGGGGGTCTGGAGGGAATTCCCTTATAAGCCACAATTCTTACACAAGCTCAAAAATCACTTGAAATTGTATTTTCCCCCCCTGTTTTGCTTGTGCTTGTAAATATGCAATTGATGAGTCGATAGTTGAAAATGTCACAAAGGATAAAATAAATAAATAAACAAACAGAGAAACGCCAAGGAAAGGAAAAGAAACAAAAAGCCCAATGGGAAAAAATAAAAAATGTCCGACCTGGTCTCACCATGTCCTAAAATGACAGGCCCTTATGTGTGACCTCCCTCCTTACCAACTGTGGGTTTCCAAGGAAAGAGAGTATCAACTTGCAGCTGGTATTAGCAGCTAAGTTGAATGAGCTGATGAGCTAAGTAGATGAAGGAATCCACAAATATAGTGAAAATTAGGCCCTATTCCTTGAAAAAGGATCAGCCACAGTGACTTTAAAGCATTTACCACTTAAAAACCTTTTAGCCGGGCCCATTTTGAATTATGACTACATGATTTTAAATTACACTTTCTAATTCCTCACCACCAGCAGCCCCCAGCAGTCGCTGCCGCTTCATTTTCCAATTATGTACTTTTATTTCAGAATATGAAGAGTGCTACTTACTGGATCATGTCCTGTCTGCCACAAATAGCTGCTCACTTATTCCTTTAATTTTAGATATGAATGCAGCCGGTTTGCCCGGCTTGTCTTCAAATTCTGAATATTCTCCGTTCCCACTGCACAGAATGAGCAAAGAAACCCACAACGCTCAGGTAGAGAAATATGTTTGTAAACCAGTGCTCCACTCTAGAAATTATCATAATTCTTGATGCTTTCTAGATCCATCTAGCAGATCAGCAATCACATAAATAATAGTGAGTGGACTGATTTTTCTTCTGCAAAGTGCTCTGTCCTAGTTTTCAAAATAAAGCACTTGGCGAGTCACGTATCTGTGGAGTTGAAACGGGAAGATTCTCAGACCCGCTTCAGACATGCACACAGACATACCCACACACAAAAGGAAATAAGAGGTAAAACGTGTAAAAATCAGCATTCTCTGCACCCCCTTCCCACTTACAGATCAAGCGACACTCAACATGAATGGGGATTTGGGACAGACACGGCGAGGGAGGGGAAGAGGCAAGAAGGCTGCGGTTGCTCAGCATTCAGAGACAATTTGCAAAGAAAGTAAATGTGGATTTACAGTTCTCGTGAAAATCTATTAAACAGATGTCACTGAAGCATAATCAAATCGGCACTATGGTAATTCCACACTTGAGTCTGAGATTGGGGTTTTGCCATTTTTATGATCAGTGCAAGTGTATTTTTTGTGATTGTGCGGGAATTCGCAATTAAGGATTAAACCTCCAAAGTACGATCAATTCACTAACGAGTCTGAATGACAAACTTACAAGAGCAAAACTCCATTCTCCAACACCCCCCACCCCACCACCATCACCACCTGCATTGTGCAGGAAGCCTAGGGCAGGCGAAGGGTGGGGAGAAGGAACATTTGTTTTTTCCATGAACACTGAGACAACTAAAAAGCGCTTCGTTATGAAGGGGGAAAAGGCAGGGTGCCGGGGAGGGTTCTGGTTTCTCAGGTAGCCAGTGCAAGGCTGCAGTACTGTCCAGAAAATGCAAAATAATAAAATGAAGGGGAAATGATGTGAGTCGCCAGAAACTGTTTTCTCCTTCAAGTGATGAAATTAGCATGGGCGATGCCAAATGTGCATCGATGCCGAGCCTTACATCCTTCTTGGAAGGCGTGGATGGGAGGTGAAAAGGAGAAATAGACAAGTTCTGTTACAGAAACTTTCAGGTGTAGACTGGGACAGCGGAAAGAGGAACCCACTCCTCCGCTGGCTCTGAATCGCATGCAGATGGCAATCAACCAGAGGGAGGTTGGGGGGGGGGTGTTTGTTTGTCTGATTGGTTTTTTGCTTTTTGTTTTTTGTTTTTACCTGCAGCTGCTTCTATTTCTGCTGATGACCAGGTTCTGACATTAAGCTGACCAAGCTCACATTCAAGAAAACCCCCCACAGGGTAATTCACAGAAAGTCATGAACAGAGAAGAAATGTCTTATATCATGATTTTAGTTTAAAATGAATACGTACAATCTCAATTTGTTGCTATTTCTCTTTCCATGAGATTAAGCTGCCCTCATTGGCCACAGATACATAAATTAAGCTTGTCTCGTTAGAGGAAAAAAAGTCAAAATAAAATAAAACATTTGTGTTGGCAGCAGACTGGTCAGGTCACCAGGGAGAACCACAGTGAATCTAACTAGCCAAGAAACTATTTATACCTTTCCTCCAACACTACCCCCAAAAAGGGACTTCTTTTTTTTTTTAATTTTCTCTTGGGGTTGTTTTGCTTTTGACATTTTAGTCACCTCTGCAGACCCAAGTTGAACAGTTTCATTGGCAGTCTGGAGAGGATGCTCACTGGTGGTCTCATTCTGTGGTGACACCCACAAACCAGGAATCGGCCTGCAGGGAATGGCTTTCAGAGTGTCCCAGCACCGTCTACACGAAATGGTTCTCTCTGTGGGAGAACCTTGCTGCCCCCCAAGTGTTGAGCACATCTGGTCCTAGAGGGTGAGGCATCCAGCCAGAAGGAAGACCCCACGGACAGGCCTGTCTCTTATCGGAGGTGCCATCAGCTATGGGTACAGAATGGGCCTGAGAACCTACTACCCCTAGGTCTCTGCACCTGGGGAGCCCTTTGCCCCAGGACCCTTGCTCCGGTGCTGCAGGCAGACAAAGGTACTTATTGTTGAACAGGAAGATCTCAGGGAAAAGAAGAATAAAAAGGGAAAATTTGTGAAAAGACCCTTTTTTGTTCCCAGCGAGGGAGGGGTGATGGGAGAGACATGTCACACTGTCACATTAAAGATTGTGACAGACAATTCAGGGATAACACAGAAATTCCACCCTAACTGCAGCTCGATGCAACTTGAAAGGTATTAACTAACCTCCACTAATTGCATGTTTTTCTGTACATAATATTTACTTGTTAAAAGTCTTTGCCTGGCCGATTAATTTCCCCTGCCCCGCTATTCATGATCAGTACACAGGGCTGGAATTGGCAAAATGAAGTCATTTTGAAAGATGAAAAGATGACTGTACTTTGGGAAGGGTTTTCTTTTTTCCAGAAGTCCAGAACCTGCACCCAGAATGCTGATTTTTCTCCTTGAATGCTATCCTTCAGGGAAATCCAGTGATCATCCTTAATTCCCCAAACAAGTGGAGAGAGATGTGTCCCGCATGAGGAGAGCACACCAGGGGCCACACTGCCTATGTGGGAAGATAGCAAGTTCAAGGGAAGACAAATAAACTTCAGTCACTTTCACTGGGTGAAGATTTAATAGTCTCGTGGGTGGACTGGGAAATTTTTAAAAACAGGCTTTGCCTGAACAATGATCCCATACGTTGGTCTGTGGTGTACCTGACAGTCTGAGCTCCAGTAGAAACACCCTAGATTCCTATCCTGTTCCTGGACACAGACACAGCCCCCAGGGCATCAGCTGTGAACAATTCTAAGGCTGGTTGTATCTGAGGTACTTCCTCTGACACACAGGTGACACTCTGAGCCAGCCCACATCAATGTTATGGGGAAGTAATTCAATCCAGGCCTTCCAAAATTCCTGGGGCTGAGAAGTAAAGAGAAGGCAGTCCCACAATGAAACACTTCCGAACACACGATTAACCTCCATGACTGGATTAGCACCTTTTGACTAGCCATCAGCCAATTAATGTACCTCCAACGAATGAGCACTCGAAGAGATGTAACCATTTCAACCAAAATCCATCTTGAGAAAAAAGATTTTACAAGTGTAGTGGGGCCGCCACTCGGAAAGCCAATTTGCAGGGAGCCGGGCATCGTGAAGCAGTTTATTATGCATGGCTCCCACACAGCGGTCCCCTGTAGACTGCGCCTTGCTCCAGAATCCCTCCCTGTCACCATCGGCTCTACAGCCCTGGTGGGGTTCTCGCCTGCCTCCACTCCACCAAATCCATGAGCCCCCTCCCCAATGGTCCCTCAGTGCCCTGGCTCCCACTACCAAGGCCTCGAATCCAACTGGGATGTGGCCGTCAGTCGGCAGCTTCTCCGACATGCCCAAAAGCACATTTAGCCCTGGGCCAGGTTACTCACGAAGTTGGTTTAATTTTTTTCTTTTTGGCTATGTCCAGTCAGAGAACTGACGGTGTGTCTGCGTGACCCTGTCCCCAACCCCAGCGCAGGCAGATCCCTGCTAACAAGTCTCCCACCTCCACTCCATTCAACTCCTGTGAGCCAGCTCCACCATTCAACAGCCAGCTCACTTTTGTTCCCCCAGTTTAATTTCATAAGTGTTTGCCACTTAACAAGCTCTCCGCTGGGCCATTCAGTGGACCTGAGGAAAAAGGGCAGGGGGAGGCAAAGAAGCTCCTGGAGGGGAGATGGGAGAGAAGCCCGCCCAGCACTGGGGAAGAGACAGGGGGACAGAGTAGGGACCAGTTCCAGAGTGAGGCCTCCTGACACCAACTGGGCCACCCAGCCTGAGAAGGAAAGGTAGGGAGGAGGTGGAGGAAGGGTGGGTTACCAACCTCAAGCCCTGGACTGCCAGACTGACCCTCCTCTGGCCCTGCCCGGGCGAAGGGAGACTCTGCATGGATCCACTCTCCTGTAACACGTCCCACAACACCCAAGAGACAGAACTGCTTCTCAGCATGGGCATTCCCTGAAATATTGCCTCTGAGCACTGGGACCTGTCTGGTTAGCTGCTGAATCCCTGGCCGGGCTCATAGCATACAGCAATAAATATGGATTGAATGAGTGGATGGGTGGATGGGTGGATGGGTGGATGGATGGATGGATGGATGGATGGATGGATGGATGGATGGATGGATGGATGGATGGAAGGAAATGGATGAAGTTTCCAGCAATATCTAGCAAAAGTGGCCACTCGTCCAGCATCAGCAACCCCTCCTTCCCCCCAAACGCCGGCAGGACTTCGCTGCGCACAGTAGGCTCTCCACAGTCAGGGGCTGCTATTGTTACCGCCGTCTTCGTTACTTGCACCCCACCAGCCCGCTCCTTCCACCAGCGACTCCGCCAGCAGCCAGGAGCGACTGGCGAGCAGGGGAAAAGTTTCGCTGACCCCGCGGCCCCAGCCGGAGTCCTGCGTC